GTGTAAGAGATTAGATTTTAACTTAATATAAGTTTAATGCCTTTTAATGTTTTATTTTTATGTGGACTGTGAAGATTTTCTAACCTAAATTTAAAATTAAGGCTGACAATCAATATCAGAGTCATTATGGGCAATGTGACATAGTGTAATTATCTCCAAAGTGGGAAGTCCCAAAGAAGCTATGAGATGCAGGAAGAAATACTAGCACTTCACTTGTTTGTTTGTTTTTTAATGAATTTGAACTTTAAAATTTGCCTAACAATGGGATGCTTTTTATCAAGTGAGACCATATAATGATATATGCATATATCTTATAAATAAACATATGTAGGTGTGATAATCAATTTTTTACTAGAATACTTAATTGCAAAAGTTAGAGACTAATGGTACAGTGGAAAGAACACTAACCTGAAAAATCAAGAAGAGATGGGTGCTAATCCCAGTTCTGCTACCAATTTGGAATGTGAACATGAGGGAGTTATAAAGACTTTCATGGCTGTGGTTACTATATCTGTAAAATGAGTGGTCTGTTGAAATAAATATCCTTGAATTCTTTGTTTGCTCCGGGATTCTCTAAATGGTTTTATACTTGATTTTCCTATCAAGCATCATTATAATATTATATATACAGAAGGTTGGACTTTTTTCCTCTCAGTGTTTCAATAAGATGAAAATATGTGTCTCACTTCCTGGAATATTTCTGGAGAGTGCTTTCTGAACCTTGGCTATGTCCTTTCTCTCTGGTATTGCTAGCCATAATGGTAGGTAGATTCATAGGCACACACACCAATCAATCCTTACTTATGACTTAATTTCATTGCTTTTATCACTTAAAATTCAGAAAGTTTCAAGATTTAAAAAGAATATTAAATATTAATTTTTTTGTTTGTTTTCCAATCTTGAGGCTTGAATTTGGGGCCTGGGCATTGTTCCTGAACTCAAGGCTAGTGTTATAACACTGAGCTACAGCACCACTTTCAGATTTCTGGTGGTTAATTAGAGACAAATGTCTCACAGATTATTCTGCCAGGGTTGGTTTTGAACCATGATCCTGTGATCAGCCTTCCGAGTAGCTATGATTACAGGTATGAGTCACCAGTGCTTGGCTTAAATGCTGTTTTAATAGGTAAGAGATCTTCATAGATGCATATATACCAAATTTAGTATATAAACATACACTAAATATATTACTATATTCTACAAAATAAAATTTGTTTCAAATTTAGATGCAACTAAAACTCCAGAGGTTAATAAATTCTTCCTTAGTTTTTTAGGTTCAAAGAAATTTTAAATCTATGTATCTTATTTACTCACTTAAAATATATCAACTTTAAAATTTGACAGTGTAAAATGCTTGACTTCAGTGTTCACAAAGCATGACAAAACAGACTACTGATGATTTTTCAGCTCTTTAAAGCTTTGTGTTTCTGTACTTTAGTTTTGTCTTCTGGCTTCAATAAATAATTCAGAATTACTAAATCATATATTCACATGGTGTTTTGACATCTACACTTTTATTAGAAATCAAAAGGTTACTGGGCATCGTTTCCCAGCCTAGTTACTTAGGAGGTAGAGGTAGGGGGATTGCAGTTTTAGGTCAGCCCAGGCAAAAAGAAGTTCACAAGATTCCATCTTAAGCAATGGCAAGATGAAGTGGCTGGAGATTGTCACCCTAGTTAGGGGGATCAAAGCTAAGGCTGGTCTAGGAATAAGGTGAGAACCTTCCTTGAAAATAATCAAGTAAACAGGGACTGGAAGCATGGTTCAAGTGGTAAAGCCTGGGTTAATCCCTAATATCACAAAATAATAAAAAATTTAAAAAATAAAAATAATGCTTTACTTGTGCATGGTGATGCACACTTGTAATCCTAACATACACACAGACATACACATATACACAAACACACACACATGAAGTTTAAAGAAATTTTAGAAATAATAGCAAAGATGAATGTCTTGTATTCTATAATAATATTGCATAATACATACCATCACAATACATTTTATGAAGTCTTTTTCAAGATAAAATATGGAATGGAAGCTAATGGTGGTGCCATAAATCTTTAGCAGAAAATTTAACTATTAAAAGTCAGCTGCTCTGATTTAGCTTGAAAATGGAATCATAACCTTCTGAACAGGTTTGGTTTAATAAATGTACCATCTTGATTTATGTTAAAGGAAAAAAGGAGCATTGCAGCATAAAGAATGACAAATCCTAACTATTTTGATGTCACCAGAAATCAGTTTAAACAATTAGTTTGAAAATTTAGTTTATGAGCATATGACTGTAGACACAGACTAAAGTAGAAAGTATATGGCAAAAACAAAAAAAAAATAGACGGGGAAATTTAGCTGCTCTCCAAATAGGAAAGCAATGAAATACTTCCAGTCATGAATAGTTTTGTTTTGGTGGTAATGGAATAAAGGGGTGAAGGAAAATAGCACCTTAAACTTAGACTTGTATAAGCACAGCCTGTACTTTGTGACCTGCTTGGTATATAGACATTTTGCTGCTGTCCAGAACAGCCAGCCAGGAACACATTTCACTCTGGCTTCCAATTGGTAACCAATCCACAAGCTTACCTTCAAGGTCCTAACCTTTCGGTTAATGCTGATGATAGAAAATGAGCTTCATGCTCCCCCCCGGACTGGTATAGAAGGAGAAGTAGCTTGCCATTCCATGTGACCATGGCAGAAGATAAAAGACAGTAGTCCACCCTGTACCTACAGGCCTGGAACCCCTGTGTCCTCTAGAAATCCTTCAAACCCTTAACAGTTCTGTGTTGTACCATTTGTCTTCTTGCATTATTATCTATCCTTTTTGAATTATGTTTATTTCTGGCTTGTGTTTTGCTTTTATTTACTTTAGAAAATTTTATTAGCATGAATAATGGGTGGCATTGTAACATTTACAGACACGCGTGATATACTGTGAGGAAAATATCTTTTCTATCAAAGTAGTTTGCTTCCTTTCTGTTAATCTTGAAAGAATTGTTTTTCTGAAGGGTTCCTGCTTTAGCCAGGTGACTTAGCCCTTGTGAATTACATTTTAGTTACCTGCATCCTTTTCCTGAGCACTTTAAGACTACCTGTTAAAAGCTCCTTGAAGTTTAGTTGCATCCTGTAATTAAGCCACATTCTTTTGCACATTGTGAACCTGAGCTTAACCAATGGGAGCAGGGGGCAGGGCCTGCTGGGCTAGGGATAAAAAAGGAGCAGCCTGCCTGCTCAGGGTGCTAGCTTGCCAGATTTTTGGCTAGTGGCCCACCTTTCTGCAGAAGTAAACTTTGCCTTACTGAGTTCCTCTTGAGTTGGTGTCCTTATTCCCACATGTCACCCCAATGCCCCCAGCTATTTCTAACATGTACTTTGATCAAATTCACCCCATCTAGATTACTTTTAACCCTCCACCTTTTTTTTTATAGTTTTAGTGGGTCTCATTATGCTATTTTCATTTATAAGATACTTGTAACATACTTACCTTGTCACTCTTTTCTTTCCCCTCCCCTCCCATTCTCAAAGGTAAATTAGAGCAGCTGACTTTTAAGTTTGAAGTTGAATTTTATGCTAAAGATGTATGGCACTATCGTTAACTTACATTCCATTTTATCTCGAAAAGACTTCTTGAAAAAAGGTATAGCTTGAAAAAGATATGGTACATATCATATAGTATTATTTAGGAAATAAAATTTCCAAGCTCTTGGTTTACTTATCTGTTTTTGAGATAAGGTTTCAAAATATAGACGATGGCTATATATCCCAGGCTGGCTATGAACTCACTGTTAGCCCAGCTGACCTTGAATTCATAGAATGCAGACTGGCCTTGAACTTAATATGTACTCCAGACTGGAACAAACTAATGGTCGTCCTGCTTCATCCCAACGCCGCCACACTCCCCACACCCCACCCCCTGCCAAATGCTGGGATCACATGTATGTAAACTCCAAACTGTTCCCCCTTTATGATCCTGTCGTTTTTTTTAGGTCTAGATTCTGCATATGAGGGAAAATTTGATTTTTTATCTTTCTGAGCTTGGCTTATCTTGCTTAATGTGATGATTCACCTCCCATCCGTTTCCCTATAAACAGCACAATTTAGTTCTTTACTGCTACTCCATTTTATGTAGGCATCACATTTTCTTTATTCAATCAAGCATCTAGACTGATTTCATACTTGGCTAAAGTATTCCATACTTATGAATAATGCTGCCAAAGACATAAGTGTGCAGGCATCTCTGATGTATATTGACTCCTATTTCTTGATACATACCAAGAGTGGTATGGCTGAATCATATGGTAGTCCTATTCTTAGTTTCTTCATTAACTCCATACTGATTTTCATAGTGACTACACTAATTTCCATTCCCACCACAATGTATAAAGCTTCTTTCACCAGAATCCTTGCCAGCATTGCTATTGTTGTCATCTCTTTTCTTGATAATGGTCATTCTGACTGGAGTGAGAATGGGGTTTTTATTTGCATGTGCTCTGTTCCTCCTTGTATTAGTTATATGATGAGGTTCATATGTTTACATTGTATTCCAATCAATTTCACTCAGTTGATCACACTCTCTGCTTCCTACCCCTTGTATTCTGCTCTTTGTATAGGCAATGTTTGCTTTTCCAAATATTTTTCAAAGAATAAGTAATAATTGTAATTTGAATGGTTTGTTTCAACTGCAGCTTGACTTTTCTCATGTCATAGTGCTCACACATTTTACCTTCCCTTCAGTCAGGAAGTTCCCAAACAGGTTCCTATTAGCATTCTTCAATGTCCTTCCATTTCTGTGCCCCCCTTTACTCTCCCAAAGTCAGATAAATGGAAAAAAAAAACCAAGACAGTTGAGATCTTTCTAACCCTACGTTAGTTCTAAAGTAAGGAGTAATAATAACATTAGGGATCTAAGACTTTAGAAAAACTTTCCCAGATTAAATCTTTCTTTAGCTAATATTTTAAATGCACTTTTGGTTGTTGTGTAATGTTACAGGTCTTTTTTTCAGACTTACAGATACCAGTCTGCTGTTGGAAGATTACTCATCCAAGTTGAGCCCTAAAATAAAGAGAGCCAAGCACAGCCTTCTGTCTGGAGAGGAGAAAGAAAACTTAGCAAGCAACTACATGGTGCCTATATTCTCTGGACGGTGTGTGTGCTTTTTCTTCCTGCCTTTGATTAATAGAAGTGGGGGGAATAGATGATAGCAGCAAACATTTATTGAACTCATTATGTAGCAGTTGAGAAAGATCTTAGGAAGCTTGGAGTCCTTTCCTGTTCAGAAATTACACAGGATACTGGAAAAGAATGATCAGGATGTAATGCTACTTGTATGTATAGTAGAAATGGGAAATAAAGCCTTGGATGTCTGTGGCTCAATACTATGTATAGTCAATACAGGTGGAGTAAAAAAAAAAGCTCCAAAACTGTACAATGAAAGTAAAAGAAGACTATTAGGGTATGGAAAAGGAAAGGGGGAGAGGGAAATAGGACATGCATATGGTCACAGTACATTGTATATGTGTGCGAAAATGTCACCCTCTACTGCATGTGATTAATGTGAGCCTTGTTGCCATATATCTAAAATAAAAGTGATATTGTTTACCTCATGTTTTCTCAGTTATCTTTAAGTAGTTGTACAAAGGAGTTGCCATTTAACAAAGCAGCTTATGAATATAGTGCATCTTGATCAATGTCACCCCTTTTAACATTCTCACTCATCCCTCCCAGTTCACCCCTTCCCTTACTTTTCTTAATTTCATATTATATTTACTGAATTCTTGATTGTATTCTCTCCCACTTCTTCTCTTCATTTGCCTACTCCTCTCCCCTTGACCCTTTCAAGTACCCATTTCCTGGTGTTTATTTTGTTGAACTTTGACTTTGCTGAAATATGGTAGATTCAACAAATAGTATAATTCTTTAGAAAGGCAAAGTAAAAATTTACAGGTCTTTTTTGGTATGTGGCTGAAATAAGAAAAAAATGATTGTGAAAAAAATCCCAGAATACAGTAGAAATTATTTCAGTCATTATTTTTGGGGGGGGGCGGAGGGGGTCCGGTCTTGGGGCCTGAACTCCAGGCGTGGGCGCTGTCCCTCAGCTCTTCAGCTCAAGGTTAGTGCTCTACCACTTGAGCCACAGCACCACTTCTGGCTTTTTTCTTTTTTGCTTATGTGGTGCTGAGGAATCGAACCCAGGGCCTCATGCATGCAAGGCAAGCGCTTTACCACTGAGCCACCTTTCCAGCCCTCAGTCATTATTATTACCAGAGGAAAACCATTTCCTTAACACAAAGAATCAGCATCTGATTTGCCAGGTTTTTGAGGTGTGTGTGTGTGTGTGTGTGTGTGTGTGTGTGTGTGTGTGTGTGTGTTAATAGCAGCGTTTCTTTGGGCACAGGACACTGGGTCTGAGGTCTGCTACCTCAAGCTTAGTCAAATTAGGCAGCTTTATTACTGCCATTCACAGCATCCACATTTTACTTCTGTGTTTTAGTCAAGTGCATGTCAGTGGAATTACAGATACAGAAGAAGAAAGAATTAAAGAAGCTGCTGCTTACATAGCCCAGAGGAATCTTCTTGCTAGTGAGGAAGGACTTATGACCTCCAAACAATCTACAACATCCAAGCAGTCCAAGGTCTCCAAGCAGGCCACATCCACCTTTCAACAGGAAGAAACTTTTGAAAAGAAGTCAAGGAAAGTTGCAGTGCGAGAAAAGGCAGAACAGCTCTCACTGAGAAAAACAGTAAGAAAAGATCATTCAATTCTGCTTTCAAAAGTGGAAATGCATGTAACAAATTGTATGTGTGCATGAGTATGTAGATTAATTTATTTCAAATGAAGAAATATGTGGTCTTATGGGGAGACAAAGCTAAAGAAAATGAAGAGAAAGACCTCCAAATGGGGAAGCCTAAGAAAGGCAAACTTATTTTTAAACTCTATGAAATTTCAGTTTAAAAAAATTAATATTTTCTGAAGCTTAAGAAATCTATCTTACAAATATTGCTCCATCTTAGAATGTTAAGTGTTAAATAGCAACATCTTTTTTTTTTAATATGTTTTCAATCTTGAAGTACTTGTACAATGGGGTTTCACTTTAACCTGTCTATGTGTACAATGTATCTTGAGCAGTCACTCTTTTTATCATCCTAGCCTACATTGACCCTATCCCCAACTACCTCTGTATTTTTTGGGGGGGGGTCCAGTCATGGGGCCTGAACTCTGGGCCTGAGCGCTGTCTCTCAGCTCTTCAGCTCAAGGCTAGCGCTCTACCACTTGAGCCACAGCGCCACTTCCGGCTTTTTTCTTTTTGCTTATATGGTGCTGAGGAATCGAACCCAGGGCCTCTGGCATGCAAGGCATGCGCTCTACCACTGAGCCACCTTCCCAGGCCTACCTCTGTTTTTAAAATCAGGGGGTGGAATGCAAAAACAAACTTCCAAATGGAAAAATGAGAAGTTTGGCATCGACATACTATTTTAGCACCACAAATGACTTTGATTGGGTAGTATTTTGATAACCTGTTTGCTTTTTCAGTTAGAGGAAACCCAGGCATATCATGGAAAACTGAATGAAGACCATCTTCTGCATGCTCCTGAGTTTATCATTAAACCTCGTTCACACACAGTTTGGGAAAAAGAGAATGTAAAAATACATTGTTCTGTAGCAGGCTGGCCAGAGCCTCACCTCACATGGTAGGTCTTCTTCATGAAAATGAATAGAATTGGTTACAAAAAGTTGAGTTTAACTCTAGTTAAAATATACTGAACAGCCAGGTACCAGAGGCTCACATCTGTAATCCTAGCAACTCTGAAGGTCAAGATCTGAGGATCATGATTCAAAGCCAGCTAGGAAAGTACAATTAACCAACCCAAACTAGCCAGAAGTGGAGCTGTGGCTCAAGTGAGCAACAGTCTTGAGTAAAATAGCTTAAAGCACTGTGCAGGCCCCTCAGTTCAAGCCCAGGACTAATATATATAGAATATATATTATACATACTAATAAATATATAGAATATATCTTGAATATGTATATTGAACTATAAAATCTTTTTGAGGTTCTTGAGTTTGAAAATTAAAGGGTGAAAAGCACTTCAGTGCTTAGAGGGTGATTCCCTCAAGCCTTATGCAAAGTTCCAGTTACTGGGATTCCCTTTCTATCAAGTTCTTCTAAGAAGGACAGGCCAAGCACAGAGAGTCTCACCTTGCAAAGCAAAGAAATACTAAAACAGAACCAGAGAACAACTAAGAAAATAGTTAATAATCTGCTGGGAGCAAGATTTGTCCTTGAATAGCCTAAAATTTTATCATCAGTGTTATAACTGACATTTAGCAATGGCAGTAAACAGGGTTAGATCCAGGTTTGAGGGCATGAAACTTCTACACTGTGGTGACACTGCAAAAAAATATAAGATTAGGACAGAGTACACGGACTCTTATATCTGTAAGGGACTCACGCTGAGAAGGGACTGAAACTAGTCTCATTCACTTCCAGATAAAGCCACATTTGGAAGCCTTTTCTATAGAGCATTAGCTGGGGCTCTGATTCACTTTGCAACACTGGTATAGGACATGCACTCTTCAGTAAGCATCTTTTCTCTCAAAGAACAGGGAACCCAAGCAAGAACCAAGCTCTTGGTGGTTACTTCCTTGTCATTTCTTCCTTTATGATACCCAAATGCAGCTTCCTGTGTCTGAAACTAAATATAAGTAGGAAAGAAATACTGGTCATCTCAAACAAAAAGAGGATAAAAGGTGGAAGTTTGTGATAAAACTTTCTGTAGTCACACTACTATTATGCACTGTTACTCATAGCAGTTAATCCCGGAGCCACATCTTTCAAAGACCCGCATGCTTGGGGGTTGGTTCCCTCAACACCCTTGCCAAGAAAGTTAGGGCTCCAAGTTTCCACTGGACACTCTTAGGTCATGAGTGTCCCTGAAATCTAATAAATAATATAAACATGCAGTGGAACATGTGAGATTCTGCCAGTCCCATGGTTGCTGACTAAATCTATTTAGTCAGTGGAACCTAGAGGTTATCCAGAGAGTGCTGAATGGCTGAAGCAGAAATCACTCATGCAGGCCAGGAGCAGAGTATGTGTGGAACACTGGCCTATGCCCAACTCATTCCAAAAGCAGAAGGAAGCCTGTTTATGTGTTAGGTCCAATAGAAAAGTGAGTTGCAGAGTTTGCTGTTGTAATACCATAGTGACCAATCAGCCATCCTGGAGGGGTGCTTTGTCAACGCAGATGTATGTAGTGGAAAAACCAAATTTAATAGGCTATGTTGTGTAATAACTTGTATAATAATACATTGGTTGAACTGGTAAGAACTTAAGAAGAGCAGGTGACTCTGAAGGAGGAAATTGATACAAGGAGATAGATTCCAGGAAGGAGATTATTTACTATATAGCATTTCCATTTTCTGCTTCTTCATATTTTCTAGGTAATTCAAGTATATTACCTAGTCAAAAATCAAATATTATATGAAATAAAGAAGAAAAAATTATCTTTTAAGAGAGAGAATTATTTGGATTTTTCCCTATTAAAAAAAAAAGAGATGTTGGTGGCTCTGGTAATACCTATGCAGGAGGCAAAGATATAAGGACTGTAGTTCAAAGCCAGCCTGAGCAGGGAAGTTCATGAGACTCCTATCTCCAATTACCCACCCAAAAGCAGAAAGTGGAACTGTTGCTCATGTGGTAAAGTGCTAGCAGTTAGCAAAAAAGCTCAAGGACAGTGCCCAGGCTCTTAGTTCAAGCCCCAGGACCAGAAAATAAACAAACAAACAAATAAACAAATAAATGACAGCTTTAAAGTAGATTTTAGGCCTCAAGCCTGGATCAAATTTTCAATGGAAATCTTTATTGTCACCTTCAAGGAGAGGCAGGAAAACTCATTGGAGCAATGTAAGAGTTAGAGAGTAACAGGCATTACCTCCCTCTTCCATATCATGTTTTCAGATCTGGCCTATAATATTAGACAAGATGTGTTTGGGCTTCCTTACCATGACGTCAAAGCCATTATCCAATAAACATTTGGAGAAATTTGTCATGATAAAAATTTCAAAACCTAAGAATAAAATAGCACAGAAAGTATTTCTTAAGAAATTTGTAAAGCACATCTATTTTGCAAATTATGAAATTTATTATTTCTCTCATAGGATCATGTGCATTGAGTATATTTACAAGATTAGGACTATTTACATATAGTTAAACTTAACAGTCACTAATGTTAATATCATAAGAAAACAGGCTGTACTTAAAAGAACTAACAAAGACTATTTATAAATTATTATCATTTTCCAACATAAGGATTTAGGATTCTATCTTTCTATCTGTCTGTCTTTCTGTCTGTCTGTCTGTCTATCCATATATCTATCTGATTCTAAAATCTAACCTAATGGGATAGATCTTTCTCTCTCTCTCTCTCAATAATTGGTTTTTGAGGTGGATCACAGCTATTTATTCAGGATTTAAGTTGACTTCTAAGCAGCCATCCCATGACTAGTGAGATTCGATATGTTGACGATCATTTGGGCATACATTATTCACTGATAGAAAAAAAAATGATCACAAAACCTTTTTGCTTTGGCCATATTTTACACTGTCAAGGAGGTTTTGCTATAACCTCATTATCAAAGCCAGCCCACTAGCTAAACTGACATTTGTATGGGAGGACTAAGTGTGTGCTTTACATAAATGAATTTAAAAAGTCACTGGATGGCAAAGTATTGTTCATGGTCGAAATGTTCATGGTATGCCAAAAACTTATCTCTAGTAATTCATAAATTACATGAGAATAGGAAGGGAAAGGGTGTTCATATGAATATTTACAAATATTTAAAAATCCTTTGATAAATATTCCTTAGGTATAGATTATTCTCCAAATCTGTTGATGACTGACTACTGTAGAATTTCCCTTCTCAGAAGCAACAAGCTGTGAAGTATATACAAACCAGGCCAAAAATCCGTTTCTTCCCAGTCTTAACACTAAGGCAGCTGATCTTATTGGAACTCAAACCTGAACATCTCATAAGTAAAATTTCTGGGAGGATAGAAGGACATTTGACTCTTTTCTAGCACTTTAAGCAAGAATTTCTTCCTCTGATTATCTAGAGTTCCAGAGGAGAGACTAAATGCTTTGCAGCCAGTGTTATGTGCGTATCTTATTTAAATCTGGTTCCTTTGCCAGGTGGCCACATTAGCAGTGATGTTTCATTAGGGGAAAGCATCAAGGTGCTAAGTCGAGTAGTCCTGGAAGACGAGGGGAGTGAAATAATCATAGGAGCTGCAAAATACCCTTTTAACTCTAACTTTATGGAGGTATGAACAGCATTGTTGACCTAAAGCCAAAGTAGATGTTTGATCAATCAGCACATGCCACAGCATGTCATGTCATGTGCTAAGAGGAACTACTGAAAACCCTCCAAGATGAAAAACTAGAGCAAGAGGAAACTTCTGAATGTGAAATGACCAAACTAAGCCAATCTAATCAGAGAGCATGCAATGAACATGTTCTACTCGGCCATCCACCAAAATGGGGAAATTTTGAGACCAGTAGCAGCCAGTAGCCATCTCTGATCAACTAGTATTGCTTGCTTAGAGCCTCTGTGTTGAGATAGCTGGTTGAGACCACTTCTGTGCTGGCAGGAAACAGTACGGTACCAACCAGCAATACCTTCTGTGGGTGGTAGTAAGGTTATACAGCTAACACCTGTTATGCAACTGTGATTGTCAAGCTAAGACAACCCTCTTCTTCCAGATCTGAGGGGAAGCAAGACTCAGTAAGCCTCAACTTACTTTCTTCCTCATTTAAAGTCATCCAGGGACTGAATGATTTAGCTCAGTGGTAGCATATGCATGACCCTGTGTTCAATCCCTAGCATCACAAGAAAACAAAAATAAATAGGAAAAAAATCATTCATATCATGAAGCATGTTTATCAGAGCTTCAGTCCTCCAGTGGGAAAAATTATGAATCTACAATTATCTACTGCATTATACAATTATTCTTCTTAATTTAACCAGCTCTACATTCTTATATTTGCCTATGGTTCATCCTTCCTCAGGAGTATGAATGGAAGTCAGTATGTATCATTCAAGGGGCTGTCAACATAGTAGAAGAGATGCAAAACCACTCATAATTCTGATAAATGTTGTACTTAGCAATTTAAACCAATCAGTACCACTGACTTAGAGGTGGGAACAGTTACATTTTGTGGGATTTTTAAGGAGATGCTTATTGAAGAAGTAAAATTTGGTCTGAATCTTGAAGAATAAGTTGGTACTTTACAGGTGGAAAAGGAGATTGAGACATTAAAAAAAATTATAGAAAGCAATATTATTTAGCAACTGTATTAATTTTACATTGAAGTATCAAAATTCTTCCAGCTAGGTAACTTGTTTAAAAAAATAAGTTTAGTTAGCTCTCAATTTTAGAGGCTGAAAGTTCCAATAGCATGGTGCCAGCTCTGGTGACAGCCCCAGTGGTAACTTTGCCAAATTTTTTGCAAATAGGAATACATGCAAGAGGAGGAAGTCACATAGTGTGACACAGAAATCCAGAGAGCAGTAATGAGGACCCAGGCTTTACCCACTTTCTTGGAACTAAGCAGGGGCCTAAAGAAGTATTTGATACTTGCTGAGAGTGGTACTCAATGATCCAATAACCTTGCACCTCTTAAAGGTTCTAGCACTTCCTAATACCACCACTATTTGGACCAAGTTCCAATCCATGAATCCATGTAGGGAAAAAACTCTAAACTACAATGAGAACATAGGATGTGTGGGGGGGGGTAGGGGGAGGAAGGGAAGAAAGGAACAAAGACTGAAACTGAGAGACTGAGACCGATATTCTTCCTCTCCCTTTCCACCACTTTCTTTGCTTCCAAACCTACGTATAGTCATTTTCAAAAATTGAAGAAATAAAATGAAGCTAGATAGAAAATGATTGAAAAATGGAAATGACATGTGAACCAAGTGCCAGACTTCCTGGTTTCAAATCCTGTCTCAGCTACTTCTGGCCATGTGACCAGAACAAGTCATTTAACCTCTCTCTATCTAGAAGAAATGTTAAAGAAAATTTCAGCTCTCGTGGTGGTTATGAGGATTGAATTTGCGATACGATAGATACACAAAGCACTCTGAATTTTCCATCACTTGTGGTCAGTTGTGCTATGTATGCCCATGGAGTAAGGTGTTGGAAAGGGAAGCAAAGGAAACCAGCTTCTTGTTTGGGCAGAAAATGGTTTAAGTAAGTTAAATCTGGACCATAGACTCTGGCTATTGAGAACATGGGGACCACTTCAGATCCAGACATCTGTTTCAGGGAGAGGCTCTTCTGTTTGACCCACTTACTGAAGGCTGAGAGGCCTAACCACAAATGAATGGAGCAGTCAGAAGAAGGAGCCCTTTATTTATTTCTAGCCAGAAGTTTTGTTTCACACTATATAAATTCTTCCAATACAAATGCACAGTTGTTTATGACACAGAATAAATCACTTGAATGAGATGGTTTTTCCATACAGTGACATTGTTCTTACCAATAATATGCAAGAATGTTAGCAGGAGGAGTGTTTTGCTTTCATTCTATACAAACAGTCAACAACAAAACCCTCAACACAAAGACTTTCTGTTATGTCAGCTTTAGTCAAATCTTTTTTCAGCTTTTTTGTTGTACAATATATGTGCACTTGAAAGCATATATTTTAATATGATTATAAAATTGTGATCCATTTTTATATCTAAACACCCTCAATTAACCAACTTTTAAATCAAGATGCTAAAAGACAAAAAATATAGTTGGTCATGATAAATTATACAGGACTCTAGATATTCACATAGTGAGGTATTCTTAGGAGAGGATCACAAAGCCTCAATAGCTATGTGCATATGATCATATATAACGGTATATATAGAAATGAACACCAAGAAATGGAAACAAGAGTTTCTTTGTTATTTTTGTTTTTGTTTTTTTCTCCTTTGTTGCTGTTTTTGTTTTCTGTACCTTTTGTCTTGTTAGTAAGTTTATATGTTTTGGGAAGAGTAGGGGGAACATAGAAATGGTAAGACAGACAGTAAATAAATGCAGTAGTGATACTCACTTGACACTACGTTGAAAATTAACTATACAACTGTTGAGGGAGGGAGGGAGAGAAGGAAAATCTAGGAAAGAGCAAGGGAAAGGGCGATGCTATTCAAAAAGAAATGTACTCATTGCCTGACTTATATAACTGTAACCCCTCTGTACATCACCTTTACACTAACAATTTTTTTTAAAAAGAAACCAAACATTATGAGTACCCCAGACACCTCCTTCCCTTCACCACCCTGTGAAATCACTGTTTTGACTTCCAGCAGGAATTAGTAAGGAATTATTACCTATGTACTCATTCATAAGTAAGATTTTCATTAACACCAAGTAAATGAAATACATCCATATTGTGAATGATTCATACCTTTCATAGAAGATTAATGGAAGAAGGGAGTGCACTGCCACTAAAAGTTTTATTGTATTGCTAGTGTAGTTTATTTAAACTAATTTAATTTGTACTTATTGGATAGCTGCTGCTGTTATCCTCAGAGACCCATTTACAGGTGTGCCTGCAAGAACAAAAATTGTGTGAATTTAATCGTAAAGTTATTATTTGAAGTTATACCCTTCAATCTATTTTGTTTCTGTTATCTCATAGGTATAAAAATCAAGTGCCAATAAATGTGCATGCGAACCCTGGGAAGTATATTATTGGAAGTCGATATGGAATGCACACTCTGGAGATTAACGAGTAAGAGAACAGCAGTGTCTATGTGTGCTGCCCAACAGTGGCACAGGGAAGCACAGTTCATAGACACTCTCCCTTTTTCCAGCCTGGTCTCCACAGGAACGTTTATATGCATTTCTTCTGTGGGTGCACACCCACAAGGTGATGTGCAGGACAAATCCTTCCACTTCACACTACCTCCCAAAGTGATCTGATATTTTAATTTAGTTAAAGATGATCAGAATTTTTTTTAATTCTTTTTCATCATTCTATAGACTTGAGAATTTTTCTTAGCAATCAAGAAGAAAATTAAGTCACCTAAATAGGCATTTCTAGTTAGTTTTCCTTTGGAGTTCCAAAGCAACATCATCATTGTATTATTTTGCTTCTACGCCATAAATGTTGTGGAGACTGGGGTGGGTGTCACTGTAAGTAGGCTGGACTTGGAGATAATATTCTTTCCTTCAGCTCACCAGGAATTATGGACAACAATATGCTTTGTCAGTCTGTATATACAAAAGGTGGGACTGAACTGGGATTTCCAAAGCCAAATGTGGAAATCAAACCCATATCAAAATTTCCAAATCTTCAAAGTCTTATAGTATCTCTCAAGATTATTTTGAAATCTAAACTTAGTTATGTAGATAAAAATATTAAGCAAGCTCCATTTTTACCTCATATAATACCCTGGTGAGCTGAAATGTTTATTTTTCTTTTTAATGGAGCATTCAATTCTCAAGAAACTTAGAGTTGTCCCCTCTCCCCCCCGCCTCATATCAAAGGAGTTGGCCCAGATGACACTGGGCTTCACACAGCCCACAGACTCTGTGACACTGATTAAAGTCACACCATGTCTGTCAGTAAGGAGTAGAGAACATATGGTTGCCTTCAAAATTAAATGGCTGTGCAAATGCAATTGTATTTACCATCCTGGAGTCTTATTGATGTCTGTAAAGTTACATCAAGTTATAAATTTTGTCATAAATGCAACCAAATCCTGAGAAACAAGAACAAGGGTACAAGTGTGATTAAACACAACATAGCATGCTCTGAAATCAGCCTGCTCTTCTCTCGGTGAGATCATTCCATTTTTTATATGACAGACTGGTTTCTGCATAATAACTTGGAGGAACATGGCCAATCTTGCACTATACAGTGTGCTAAAACTGAATATTTGAAGAATTTAAGCATAACTTATTTACTTTTGTTTTGAGATTAGAACACTACAGGTCAGACCAATCTGGCTCAGATATACACGGGAGAATCTATAATAACAGGGTACTTCTTTATCTTCCCTGTCCTACTGATGTTCCCAGACTGAAACTCTCCTCTAAGGACAGAAAGCAGGCCACAGGGAGGCCTCTGCTGTGCCTCCAGAAATGTTACCTGTCACAGAGGTGCATGGTTGGTCATTTTCTCCTCCCCAAACAAATTTGACAAGTTTATTATAGTATTGTTCACTGTAATGTATAAACTTAGTCCTATGTTGACATTTTTTGTTATATATTTTCAGTGAACCCAGGCCAGGGTCACAGTAGATGATAGGCATTCTCCCATTTTACAGCTCATTTGAAAGTGCAATAGATCAACTTGAACTATATAACATCTCAGAGGTACTCGGTCAGAGACAGGAGCCTTATCAAGAGTTACAAAGAGACCAGGCACATGACTCATGCCTATAATCCTAGCTACTCAGAAGGCTGAGATCTAAGAATTGTGGTTCAAAGCCAATCCAGGCAGGAAAAGTCTGCAAGAGTCTTTATTTCCAATTAACCACCAGAAAACTGGCAGTGGAGCCGTGGCTCAAAGTGGTTGAGCTTTAGCCTTGAGTGCAAAGCTCAGGGACAGTGCCCAGGCTGAGTTCAAGCCCCACAACTGACCAAAAAAAAAAAAGTTACAAAGAGCCATGGGCTAGCCACTGCATTGGAGTCTACTGTGTTAGCAAAGAATTCCTGGATAAAACAGCCAGTAACAAAAGACAGTCACCACAATGGCCATTCATTTCCATGTATTCTTTCAGATGTGACTTTGAAGACACAGCTCAGTACCGGGCATCGGCGATGAATGTTAAAGGAGAGCTTTCAGCCTATGCTTCAGTTGTGGTAAAGAGTAGGTTTGCCATATTGGTTTTACTCAAAGTGTATTTTGAAAAGTTTCCCATTGCTTGAAAAGAATAACCAATCACAAAGCAGCTCACATGTATTGCTCTTTTTTTTTTTTTTTTAAATAGGATATAAGGGAGAGTTTGATGAGACTCGCTTCCATGCTGGCGCTTCCACCATGCCTCTCAGCTGTAAGTTTAACAGTGTATTTGCTAAAAGTCACCATAGTAAGTTCTTCTATAGTGCTAAAATTAATGCAAACCATATGTGTCATGACATTATATATGTCATTACAGTGTATATAAGGGTAGATAAACTACATACTACTTACCTATGGCTAGTGATTGTTGTTTTTAGATGCTTTGGTTACTATTTTCTTTCTGTATTAAATTGCCTTGTTCTTGTTTTATGAAAACTGAGATGTGATGGGTTAAAAATAGCTAATGCATTCGTATCTTACTGTGTTAAACTAAGAAATGTCATATACAAAACTGGATAAAGATTTAAGCAAACATGCACACGCATGCATACAAGCATACAGAGATAAATGTCTAGGTCAGCAATGCTTTTTTGAGAAATTGTGTCTGGCCTCCTTTATCATTCCCATACCCCATCCAGTTGGGGTTAAGTGTTCCTAGTGAGGCCGTGGCACCTTTTTGAATATATATGACATGGGCCATTGTTAACTGTCAGTCTTTTCTACTTGTCCACGAGCCACTTGAAGGTAAGACTGAATTTTTCTTATCTGAATCTTGGTACCAGACACAAAATGCATATTTGAGAATGAATGGATATTTGATAGAAAATGAAGTAATAATTGTATTGGCTTTAAAAGTGCTATTTATTTCAGTCAGTCATGGGGGCTTGAACTTGGAACCTGGCACTGTCCTTTTTTTTTTTGTGAACATACTGTACAGAGGGGTTACAATTACATGGACAAGATAATGAGTACATTTCTTATCAAGCATTGCAGCCTCCTCCTTTGTTTACCCTTCACATCCCTTCCCAGCCTCCCCCTGCCCCCCCTACTCAACCCTCCCCCCCACCAAAGTTGTAAAGTTCGTTTTCGATATGACATCTTGTACTTCTCATTGTTGCAACGGGTCCACCTGTATCCCTAAACGACTTGTTTTTCCCCTTCTCCTCCACAGATTATACCGACATCAAATATAGTGAAAACAGGTGTTATACTGTGGGGGAGGGACATACAAAGCAACAAAGAACTAATCTTATAAATACGTTAGAAACAAATGCATGAAAGAAAAAAAACATTTAAATACATATCTAAGGGTTCATTTTCCTAACATCACATTATCTGACCTTTTCTGCTTGACTCATACATATTATACTAGATATTGCAAATAAGGTAAACCATGGTAACTATGTTTCTTTGGGCTTGGCTTACTTAACTTAATAGAATTTTTTTCAAGCCTTTCCATTTCCTTTTTTTTTTTGTCGGTCGTGGGGCTTGAACTCTGGGCCTGGGCGCTGTCCCTCAGCTCTTCAGCTCAATGCTAGCACTCTACCACTTGAGCTACAGCGCTACTTTCGGTTTTCTGGTGGTTTATTAGAGATAGGAGTCTCATGGTCTCTCCTGCCCGGGCTGGCTTTGAACCGCGATCCTCAGATCTCAGCCTCCTGAGTAGCTAGGATTACAGGCATGAGCCACCCGCACCCAACTAAAAAGTATAATTTAAACTGAAGTAAAAATGTGATTAATTAACAAACTATTAGGATAGCCTAGCGGTGATAATTTGCAACTTTATAAACCTTAACCATTTTATGCATCAGAACTTCTCTATATTTAGAATTAAAATCTTTGTTGTCTATGAAATAATCATATGCTTACCCTGGTCAGACTGAAAAGAGAAGGAAGTCCAAATTTACTTTCCATGCATTGAATAAGGAATGGTGGTTTTGAAAATGGTTGATGAAGATCCTCTCTCATGAGATGGTCTTCAACTGTTTCATTCGGTGTTTGTAGATGGCTTATCCCTTGACTTTATAGAATGGTTCCTAACTCGAATATTCCTGGTTATAATCATTGGTATCAAGCCTACAAGTGGGAAATGATGACAGATGGAAGTGAGGGAGGTGCTCATCCCAAATGGTGTCCTTTTCTCATCATCTGATTTATACTGACATAGAATAATTGGAAGTGTTGAAGTTCAGGGTACCTAATAGAGGTCTGGATAATCATTTTATAGTCATCAGAATATCTCCTTCTCATCTTCATGGCTATATCACTTTCTTCTCCATCAAGTCAGGTTCTGAAAGCCCTGCTTAAACCTTCCTTCTCTTACAGCTTCTTTATACAGACTCTCTTCTTACCAGCCACTGACTTAGGTGCAGTTGTTCCCAATAGAAAACAGAGGTCTTGAATTCATACATTCAACTAATAGTTATTAACCACCTACTTACATGCTAGGTACTGGCTTAGGTTCTCAGGATATGCTGGAAAACTTCATAGACAGTTCTTGCCCTTGGTTTTGTTTTCTTATTTGCTCTATATTGATCAGTTGTCCTAAACATGGTTCGAAATCATTTTTATATGCATTGATTCATTAAAGTTCCTTCCAAATCTACAAAATAGGTATATTTTCATTTGTCCTGTGTAGTTAAGGAGACAGTTTAGGGAGTTTAAACAGGACAGGACCACACACAGTGAAAGGATAAATAAAAAGTGGTCCTAATTCCAAATCTGATTTTAAATCAGGGGTTAGCAAACATTCTGTAAAGGACTAGACTGTCAATATTTTAGGCTTTATGGGCCAGATGGCCTCTGTTGCAAGTACTCAGCTCTATCACTAAAACATGAAAGTGGGCATAAACAATCGGCAAAGGAATGAGTGTGCTGTATTTAGTTATAAACTTTGCAATTTGAATTTCCTATGACTTTTCATAGGTCACAAATATTGTTTTGCTTTTGACTTTTTTCAACTATTAAAAAAAAATCTATCCAGGCACTGATGGCTCACACTTGTAATTCTAGCTATTCAGGAGGCTGAGATCTAAGGATCATGATTCAAAGTCAGCACAAGCAGGGAAGCTAATGAGACTCTTATCTCCAAATAACTACCAAAAAGCCAGAAATGAAGCTGTTACTCAAGTGGCAGAGGACAAGCCTTGAGCTAAAAAGCTCAGGGACAGTACCCAGGCCCTGAGTTCAAACTCCAGGATCACCAAAAAAATAAGTAAATAAAAAATAAAAAGACTGTGTCTCTTGGATAAGGGAAATAATTCAATGACTGGTATTTGTTTTTTGTTGTTGTTGTTGTATGCAGTTGCTGTGACCCCTTATGGTTATGCATCCAAGTTTGACATCCACTTTGATGATAAGTTTGATGTGTCTTTTGGGAGAGAGGGAGAGACGATGAGTCTGGGCTGCCGGGTAGTGATCACTCCTGAAATTAAGCATTTCCAGCCAGAGGTCCAGTGGTACAGAAATGGTAAGTCTTTAGGAGGAATTCTCACACAGGTTTTGTTTATACAAGGTTGTGGGCTGGGTTAAGGATCTGTTCACCAGAGCTGGCATAATGTCTATGAGTTAGAGGGGACAATTGTGTGTTTTTACATATATAACAAGATAACAACATTTAAAAATATATTTGTGAAGATGAGATTTTTCTTATGCCTATATAATATGTGGAAAGAAGTGCCCCAAACAAATATTTACTTCATAGGTTAATTATATTTGGTAAATTAACTTTTCTCATAAATTGATTACTTATACCATAGAAAGTATATGAAACTTATATACACATATTCATATGTGAGCATATATTTGTATTCAAATATATGTATACATACATGTATATATGTGTATTATATATACATGTATGTATGTATATATACCTACACTAAGCCCTAGTAGTTCATACCTGTAATCCTAGCTGCTCAGGATGCTGAGATTGCGAGGATCCTGGTTTGAGGCCAGCCTGGGCCTCCATCCATCCAATTAACTAGTAAAATCTTGGTTGGACACTTGGCTCAATGGGTAAATCACTAGCCTCAAGCAAAAAAGATGATTGAGAGTGCAAAGCCCTGGGTTCAAAGGTACTGGAACAAAGCTAAACTGAACAAAAACAGACTGATTAGTTGAAACACTGGGCTCACAAATTTATACATCTCTAGTATAATGTCACAAATCTTAGCTCCAGACATATTCTCTATAATGGATGAAAACAAAACTCTGGAGAGAATGAGGATTGCCCTAAATCACAGAGCTGAATTCTGGCTTCAGGAGATCAAGACCTGGTGGTTGTCATTCTGAAGACCAAGATCTTTTCTCTGCCCTGAATCTCTTGAAAAGTGAGGTCTAACACAGAAAACCAACCAACCAAACAAACAAACAAACAAAACTCTTGGGAAATTGTACTTGTTCTAATTTACTTCGTTACTATTAAAAGACATTGAAATGTAAAGACTCTATCTTCCTTGTGAGTTTTTATCTATCTGCTTAGCTCCTGGCCAACAGGATGGGCTGTGATCAGAGCAGCAAACAAACCTGGAGACTTTCCTTGTCCTGTTTATCTAAAAGTCTTACCAGGTTTATTTATAGCAAAGATTCCATTTCACAACTTTAAATTCGAGACATATTTAGCTACTATGCATATTAGTGACATGATATATTTTTTGTTTAATATTTTATAAAATAAACTTTGGGGAAATATAAGAAAGTGAGAGACAAAATAGTGAGAATGCTTTCAACTATTCCCTGTAAAGAATTTTATGATGACTCAAACGCCATTTTCTTCATGAAAATTACAAGAGTCCAAAGTTGCCTGACTAGTTAACAGGAGACGTAGTACTGAAACTTTCAGGTCATACCCATCCCATCACACAGGGCCACTCTAGAAGATGAGCTAAATTGGGTTTTATGCCCTGTTGTTATGGCCTTGAAATTTATCATCATCACCTTATCCTTAAACTTCTGTTTTATGCATAATGCGTAACACTGATGTGATGATGGAGCATTCACCTAATAGATGAGACAGGCCAAGTGCAGTGCAGACTCACATGGGCTCAGGTTTGGTGGGTAGTGGGTAGTGGATTCACCAAATGGAAGACTTGGCTTTCCTGTGAGCACCTGGGGAAGTCTGGGACACCTAGGTTCCCAAGGAGATGGCTGTGGCCCAGACTGGAATTCTTAATAGCGGTAATAGCATCACGACTAACAGCAGCAGTGGTTAAGTGGGGACTATGACTGTGGCCATAGGAATTTCAAGGAGGCAGCGTGGGGACCCACATGGGGAAGCCAGCTTGCCCATTTATTCCCAGAACTCATCCCTGTAGGATCTATACAAGTATTAGCTTCCCTGGCATTGGTGTAGTAACTGTTGCAAGCAGTAAACTTTGTCAGTATAGTACAAATTGAAAGCACATCTATCTATCTATCTATCTATCTATCTATCTATCTATCTATCTATCTATCTATCTATATCTGTCTATCTATCTATCTATTTCTATGTGTATATATATTGTATATATACAATACATATATGTATATTATAAATAAATTGCATAGGTAATTAGGTTTCTTCACAGAGAGTTTGGAATTTCTGGTTGGAGATTTAGAAATAAATATTAAATTGAAACACTGTAGTATTTGATGAAAAGCCACAATTTTCATATGAAACTTCAAGTGAACCAATTTTTTTATCATTACAAATTTACTTTATTGTTATTATAGAGATGATGTACAGAGGGGTTACAATTACATGAGCCAGGTAACGAGTACATTTCCTTTCGTACAATCTCTTCTGTTCCCTCACTCTCTCCCAGTCCTTCCCCCCATCTCCACCCACAAGTTGTATAGCTTACTTTCATCAGTGTCTAGTGAGCTCTACTGCTGCACTTTCCCACCCTTTTTCCCTAGAAGGTGAACCAATTAGTCACAAAGAGGACAGTTATAAATTACTTTTTCTTCTAATTGAAAATACAATGATAAATACATAGGCAAGCATTTTGAATTATATACAAATCATTCTTGGTTTCTAGCATGACCTTCAAAAGTTAGAGGACATGCCAAGGAAACATCAAAGTATAACTCTGTAAATTTACATTTACAATTAAATTTAGACTATATGGCACTGTACACAGATCTGTGTACAAATTTCGTAATTTGTAACTACAAATTACATTTGTATACCCATCATGAATCATTAGTTTGTCTGGTGCTAGTGGCTCATGACTTAGAATCTTAGTCACTCAGAAGGCTGAGATCTGAGGATGGGCAGAGAAATCTGTGTAACATTTATCTTTGATTAACCACCAAAACTCTGGAAGTGGAGCTGTGGCTCAAGTTGTAGAGCACTAACCTTGAGTGAAAAAGCCAAAGGACAGCATCCAGGCCCTGAGTTCAAGCCCCAGTTCAAGATCCACAACCCCCTAAAGAATCATTAGTTCAAGAGAGCTAAAATTTATATTTTAAAATAGTTTATCGGAGCTAATTCAATGTTGTCATAGGCTATGTAACACTTTTAACTCCAGGCATAGTTATTTATATGAGAGGAAAATTCTCCTCTAAATAAAAAAATTACTAAAATTCATTTATGGGCTTGCATTTACAAGAGTGACTGACAACAAATGTTTTTGATTATATTGGTTTAAAATGAAGTTGTAAGTGGTGCTGTGGCTCAAGCGGTAAAGCGCTCACCTTGAGCTGAAGAGCACAAGGACAGCGCCCAAGCCCAGAGTTCAAGCCCCATGACCAACAAAAAAAAATTCATTTAAAATGAAGTTGTAAATAAACATAAAATACATGTATAAAATAAACTTAAAAATGATAAATTACAATGAAGTTGATCAAAGTATAGGTTTTGATGAGCAAATAAATAAATTTACAGAAAAATAAGCCAGAACTTTATAATCCAAATATCAAATTAGTATTATTTATTGCACATAAAAGTATAGCACCAAAATATTATTCTTCATGGCTTATATGACCCTTGTTACGTTTTATAAATAATAAAATATTTTAAATGAAAATGCCTCTTTTCTAAAGTTTTTGAACAAAGAGCTTTGCAATTTAATTTTGTAGTTGGCCCTAAAAACCATATATCTGTCCTGGGATATCTAGTTTCTTTTTAGAATTTTTACTAATATAGGTATTACAGAATATTTGAAAGCTCTAGAGACTTCCTCTAACTTTCAGTATATCAAAGGAGGAAAAAAGAGGGAGTCCAATGAAAAGAAGTCCAAAAGAGGAGAGTAATAGAAGGGGAAATCCATTCATTTTCTTCCTTTTTATTTCTAGGGGCACCTGTTTCTCCATCAAAATGGGTGCAACTATATTGGAGTGGAGATCGGGCAACACTGACATTTTCTCATCTCAACAAAGAAGATGAAGGCCTTTATACCATCCGTGTTCGAATGGGAGAATACTATGAGCAATACAGCGCTTATGTCTTTGTTCGAGGTAAGACCCAGCACAAAGTAGAACTCCCAACCATGCTGCAAACAGAAGCCAAATCAGGCTACCCAGTTACATATTTTTAAATGATAAAGAGCCATTTGAAAATTCTTCCAAATTACCTGAACTGGTCATATTAATTTCTAGTGGAAATTACACCTAGTGTAAAAAGTGATACTGGAAGGCACCAACCCAAAGATAACTGTGTTGGCCTCATGGATACAAGGACTTTCCTTATCTTCAGTGAGCTACTAGTTCAGTTGTCTACATGTGTTTGAGTGGACATACTAATTCTAATACCATGAAAACCCATCTTAGTTTCTGGCAGCTTCTACCAAAGAAGATACATTATTTGGGGACTTGCTGTTTAATATGCATTTCAGGAAGCAAATTTATTATTTCATTATTGACTCCTTCTTTGTTGCTTTGGCTTTAGTGAACAGGAATACCACAAATGTTTTCAGCCAGCCAGAGTGTGTTCTGTGTTCTTTTATGTAATGATCCTTCAGGTGACCTTCAGAGGAGACACAGGAGAGGTGCAGAAAAAGAAAATGTCTTACACTCACTGGTCTAGAAAGAGGAGGCTCAGAGAGCCACATGGGAGATAGCACCCTAGCTGGTCAGAAGGAAGAACCAGCAGAACAAACAGAAACAAGCTTAGGTCATGGCCTTACCTGAAGTGTCCGCAGGGAGAGTGAGGTAGGACACTATCCTGAGTTGTCACAGATGTTTGTGCAAAAAAAGAATTAGGATTGCCAGGCGCTGGTGGCTCATGCCTGTAATCCTAGCTACTCAGGAGGCTGAGATCTGAGGATCGCGTTTCAAAGCCAGCCTGGGCAGGAGAGACTGTGAGACTCCCATCTCCAATAAACCACCAGAAAACCGGAAGTGGCGCTGTAGCTCAAGTGGTAGAGTGCTCGCCTTGAGCTGAAGAGCTGAGGGACAGCGCCAGGCCCAGAGTTCAGGCCCCACAACCGACCAAAAAAAAAAGAGTTAGGATTCTCTTTAGCTTCCTAATGTTAACATCCAGAAGCTGAGACTCAAAAGTTTAAAAAGTACAATAACTTAGCTGGGCTTGGTGGTGTAGTGTGGTATGGTCTAGCACAAAAAACTTCTGTAATTTGCCAAAAGGCTATCCAAGAGACCTAGGATATAGGTCTTTTGAACTCTTAGCTAGGATTTTAATTGGGGCACAGGCAAAGCTGCTGAAATGAAACAATGTTTATTTTGTCTCTTCTATCAGTATAGAAGTAGAGTCTGGATCACCTGGTATGTTTCATGGTCATCTAATGTCCTAGGTCCCATTACTTCCCTGTGTCCCATGGTACCATCCTGGGTTCCCCTCCCAGTACCCTGGGAGGGGAAAGAAAATGGAAAGAAGAAGCAATGTTGCTCACCTCACTTCTGCTTGTGAACACTGGGCACATGAGCATCCCTTGACGAAGATGTCTGGTCTCTAGTTGGTCAGTGTACTTCCTGCGAATGCTCTGGGGTTCTAATGCTAAGAGGAAATAGAAGAATGACCACTGGAGACATTTATCGATCAACACCATGTATGCTGAACAATAACAAATGACCACGGAATTCTGTAATGGGCCAGAACTGATAAAGATACCTGAATACCTATTATATCTGAAAAATGTGGCAGGCTATCTCCTCCACAAGAGCATGATGGACAAAGTCATGTGCCAGCCTTCCGCAAAAATTTTAGTGAAAATTAACTTGCTGGAACTTGTCAATCTATTTAGCCAAAACACCTGGATAAGCCTGGCTAGAAAGAGACTGAATCAGCAAAGAAGTCTTTAGTTTTGGGTTCAGTTGTTTCATCTGAGCCAGAAAACATGTCTAGTTATTCCAAAAAATGTATGCTTTGGTCATTCTATTGTGGAACTTTCTGGAAAGCCTAGCATAGCCTTCAGTTCCTTTGTACTCCTCATCCCCATGCACAGTATTGTGCCTCTCCGTGAGCATTAGGAAGACTTCATATGACTAACTACAGAAGGCAGAAAGAAGGGCTTCAAAATGTACAATTCATACTTAAGCCAGTTTTAAAAAAATTATTGTAAAGATACTGTCCAGAGGGGTTACAGTTACATGAGTAAGGTAATGAGTACATTTCCTATCAAGCATTTTACTCCTCATTCATTTTTCCCCTACTATTCCTCCCCTCCCCAAGTTTTTAAAATCCACTAAGTACAGAAATGGATTCTAACATAGACAAATTGATGTGAGAGATTGAAAATCTAAACGGAAATAAAAGAAATGGCAAGAAATTTCAACAATCACACTGTGAGTTAAAGCATCATTTATAAGCTAAATTTAAAATAGGTTCTATATAGTATTCAATACAAAGAAGTGCCTTGTTTTGTCTATTCATTTAGCTAGATTGCTTCTGGTCTGGTTCTTAAGGATACTGCTGCTATCACCACTAATGTTCATATTTTAGGTATTTAAAAAACTTTCCTATTGAGGTATAATTTATATCCCATTAGATTTACCGTGTTAAATGTCCACTTCAATATTTTCTAGCCTATTTATATAGTTGTGGAACCATCATCCATCATTCACTTTTGGAATATTTCCACAGCCCAGTTTAGCCTCCAGCAGCCACTAATGTGCTTTCTGTCTATACAGAGTTCCTTTCTGGACATTTCTGAGTACATTGTGGTCTTCTGTGCCTGCATTCTTTCACTTAGAAGATTGTGAGGTTCATTAATGTTACAAGACACATTTGGTAGTTTGTTCCTTTTTGTTGCTGCATACTACTCATTGTAGAGATAAGTCTTGTTTTCTCTATTCATTCCTGAGTTGACAGTCAACTAGATTGTTAGCACTCTGATTTTCAGGGTGATCCTATTATCCGCAATTACGTTCATAACTTGGGTCTATATTTTCATTTTTCTTCAGTATGCACTATAAGTAAAGTTCAAGCCCCAGGACTAGCAGCAAAAAAAATTTGTATCTAGTGAACTACATGAGGCCACTTTGACATTTTAAAAAACCTTTTTTTGCTGCTCTGAAAATAGTTTTTGCACAGAATGATCAGTTTATAAAGTACCATATGTCTGCAGAAACACATTGTAGAGCAACTCACATTTAGCATAGATAATGTGTTCATTGTGAAAATATAGATGCTATAAGTAAGCAAAAAAATGAAAAAGAAAAGCCATCCATAAGCCTCCATCAGAGATATCTAATGTTATTATTGATCCTCACTGTATCATTGCTAACATCGGATAGGATAGAGAAAGATACTTTTTCTTTTTCTTTCTTTCTTTCTAGCATAGCAGCTGCTAGAAGCCAAATACTGTTATGTAGTGCTTCACAGTCATGCCCTCGTCATTCAAAGTCTATTTTCCTTCCTTTGCTATGTTGTACCTTCATAAGAGAAAGAATGGCCCTTTTTTTTTGGCTTTTGTGTTTAGCACCTAGAAGGGTATTGGGTAGATAGATAGGATAGATAAATGCCAAGCACACTCTATAAATGGCATATTGCAAACCATGATGCAGAAATGCTGGAATGTGGCTCCCTGGATGTCTGATATCTACCAGGCCCTGCTACAGCCTGTCTCTGTTATTATTCGTGAATGCAAGAGTGAACTAAATTCTGCACCATCAATGCAAGAGTTGCTGATTGTCACGTTACTGACTGTTAACAAAAAGAATATGGCTAGTAGTTGTAAGCTGTTTCCCTGGAGGCTGAGTGACTTTGTAGCAGTACCAGTTCTACCACTTAGGCAGCTCTGTTCTACTCACACTGTCCACTCTCCCCTGTCAAGTCAAAGCCTGGAAGGAAAGAAGTATCTCTTCATGAAAATGTTGGTTTCCTTAAAGGGATTCTGCATTCAATTCCAGGCACAATGATTTAGTTACTGTCTCAATTAGCAAGTCTGCAGGCCACATTTGCCCAGAAATACTTTCCGTGTTGGCTTATGGAGCATGAAACGAAATGTTCAAAGTCCAAGTAATTTAAATCTTTACGGGTAATGCAAATACATTAAATTCAGAAATATGTCCATGTTTCTGCCTCAATATCCAATGTCTTAGTAACTCATGAGTGTTACAGAAGTATAAATAATAGGAAAAGATTGTCCAGTCAAGAAAAGTGTTTTCCCTTGGGTAAGTGGCTCCTATCCATCTTAGCCTGTCTTCCTTCTAACTCTGTTTATAAAAGGGTTGGTCAAACACCAAGAAGAACTGGCAACTGTAAAGCCCTTCCCGAGACCCTGCCTCTTGTCTTAATCATTCTCACTTAAAAGGTTGCAAGTGAACATTTGATTCCCCTTTCTCTCCTCCTAAAAGTAGCCCAGATTTACTAATGTCGTTGAATCTGGGGTACCACATTATTAGAGAATCTCATTGCATGAACTTTCTTTTGTTTCTAGTATCATCCTGGGCTTTCACTAAATTCATATATACAAGCCTCAAATGTGGATAGTATAAATTCTTTTTCCAGCTATCTTTGGTTTAGGAGCAATTGTTTGGTGTGCTAGTGAGTTTCTCTAATACTAAGGTTAAAAGATTTGTTTTGATTCATGGTTTCTGGGGTTTCGGTCCACATTAGGCTGGTCCTGTGTTCGATTCATGGTTTCCGAGATTTCAGTCCACATTAGGCTGGTTCTGTGTTTCTGGGGCTGTCGTGAGGCAGAACATCATGGCAGAGGAATGAGGCAGAGCAAACTCTTCAACTCATGGTAGCCAGGAAGCAGAGAACTATGACACCAAGCTATGACAAGGCAGAGCCTTCAAAGCACAACCCCAACCTACTTTCACCAGTCAGACCCCCACCTTCCACACCCTGCTTCCACCACCTCTCAACAGGCTATTCAGTTTCTGAATTCGTCAGTGGATTAAACCATTGGTCAGAGCCTTCAAGTTCTAACCATCTCTAGAAACATCCTCACAGACATACCCAGAAGTGTGCTTCACTAGTCTCCTGAGTGTCTCTCAATCTTAATCAAGTTGACAATCAATATCTACCACTGCATGGAGTTCAAACCAATATTTTCCTATCTCCTTCAAAATGGTATATTCAGTGTAACATGGGCACAGCTCCTTGACTCTTATTCTCCTAAGTATGTGACAGAAGGGGCTATTTATCACATTTGGAGTCTCATTCTCTTGGGAACTTCTCATAGTTTATTAGCAACATTGCACAGTCTGCATCTAAACAAGGACTTTCTGACATAGATGACTTGTCTGACAGTAAATTTCTGAGATCTCCCTATTAATTTTCTTTTGTAATGTTTTGGACAGCAAGGGCCATGAAGCAAAGGTCACAGGATCTTTTCAGAGCACTTTCCATTTTCTAACAGTGTTCTTCTCCACTGATGCTGAAAGGCATACCTGGTTATGTTGGTGAACACATGAGATTTGAAACTTTCTCCATTGGGACCAAAGATGCAGCCACTGTGGTGGCATGGTGAGAGTGTGTGCGCTGTGGACTCATCCTGCCAAGCCGGCAGAGCAGGATAGAGGGGATAATGGGATACTTCTGTTTCCATAGATGCTGATGCAGAGATTGAAGGAGCCCCTGCTGCACCCCTGGATGTGATGTGCTTGGATGCCAACAAGGATTACATCATCATCTCTTGGAAGCAGCCAGCTGTGGATGGAGGGAGCCCTATTCTGGGATATTTTATTGATAAGTTAGTTCTCAGCATAACTTCATTTATATTTCTTTGGTTATATAAGTGCATGTATTTTGTTCTTGTTTTTACTCTCTCTCTCTCTCTCTCTCTCTCTCCTGATATACATACACATAAGCCACATTCATATCTATATTTACATGTTCCTAGTTATCAACCTTTCTGTTTGCCTTAACTTCAAAGATAAATTAGAATTTGATTAACTCAGGACTCTAACTTGGTAAGAATGCTGTAAATTTGCAAATCTAATCTGACACTTTAGAAATGAAATAGTTGCTATTCAGTATATTCAATGTCATAGACCTAGTATGTCAGTAATTTTAAAATATTGGCTACAGAAATATGAATGAATTTTTATTTACATTACTGAGTGTGGTTTCAAGTTATATAAAAGACAATGACAAAAATCCATAGTATTAAACTATCCTCTTACCTGTAAGTCCTTGTTGTTTACATACCCCAACATTTACAGGCACTAGTATTTATACTAACCAGGTTTTACACATTAATTATCCAGTGAGTTTGGACAAAAGAGACAACAAGTTTAGACTATTACCTAAATTTATTGTTTTCTGTCTTTATTTTTTTTCAAATAGCTATCTTTTTTTTCTTTATCAGTAGTGGGCCTTGAACTCTGGGCCTGGGCGCTGTCCCTCAGATCTTCAGCTCAAGGCTAGCCTTCTACCACTTGAGCCACAACGCCACTTTCAGTTTTCTGGTGGTTTATTGGAGATAAACCATGGACTTTCCTGCCTGGGCTAGCTTTGAACTGCAATCCTCAGATCTCAGCCTCCTGAGTAGCTAGGATTACAGACGTGAGCCACCAGCGCCAGACTTCAAATAGCTCTTCTATTTCTCATTTTATTTATTTTTATTGAGGAAGATAATAAGTGTAACTGTTAAGCTTCATATATAACAATATGTAAATGTATACCCATTGACTCCAGTGATGGATACATTGTTTACTAATGATGGGTCATGAAGATTCACATAGTTTCTTTTTCTTAACTTCAATTCAGCTTTATTAACATTGTTGTTGTTATTATTGCTGACACTAGGGTTTGAACTCAAAGCTTCTCACTTACTAGACAGATGTTCTGCTGCTGAATCATGCCTTCATCCCTCTTTGGCACTGGTTATTTCTTTTTCCAGTCCTGGGGCTTGAACTCAGGACCTGAGCACTGTCCCTGGGCTCCTTTTGCTCAAGGCTAGCACTCTGCCACTTGAGCCACAGAGCTACTTCTGGATTTTCTCCAACTAATCACAGAGTCCTATGGTCTTTCCTGCCTGGGCTGGTTTTGAACAGTAATCTTGAGATCTCAGTCTCTTGAGTAGCCAGAATTACAGGAATGAGCCACTGGTGCCCAGTGATACTGGTTATTTTTATGACAGGGTCTTGCTTCCTGTCCAGGAGTATGCATGAACTGCAATCCACCTATTTTAGGCTTCCCATAGTATCTGGAATAGATGACAAGTATACATACCAAGCCCAGCTTTTTTGCATTGCAATAGAGTCACATGAACTTGTCCTCCTAGACTGCCTGCAGCTTGGATGACAGGCATACCTCACTGCACCCAGCACTTGATTGAGAAGGGGTCTTTCATATATGCTGGACTGGCCTCCAACTGCAATCTTCTGATTATAAGCACGAGCCACAGGCATCTGGCAGTTTCTACTTTATTATCTGTGGCAAATTTCCAAGGGATCTACAAACTTTGATCGATGAAGGGACAATCAATAAGTACATTTTGTTCTCCTCTTGCCTTGGTCATGATGAAAATAACCACATTGTGTCTCATATTAATCCAGCATTTGCTACAAGCTTGGTACTGTGCTGAAAACTCCATATATTTACCACTAACCATCCTGAAGACAGTGTTGCTAGTTAAGTAAGAAGGGAGGTAGCTGACCCAAGACCACATACTAGTGAGCAAACACCTACTTGCCATAAGTAGTAAGTAGCAGAATTAGGGTTCAAACGTTACCCTGGCGGTCAGTTAGTATTCTTCTGCTCCAATATGCTATAGAAGTTTCCATCATAGTTCTCTACCTTTCTTTCTGTCCATAAAAGGGGTGAAAAACAGTCTCTTGTATCACTGGGCCCCTTGATGGTGCCTTGCTCAGGAAAGAGGGAAAGTCCTGGAAGAATCTCTGGAGATGCTCTCAGCTCCCTTCCAAGACACACTCAGAGCAATGTGACAGTCTACAAAGGAAAGATTTAGGGAGAATGGACGAGAGACAGGGATTGAAGCTACATTTGATATCAATTTGTGTAATGCTGAAGAAAATGTCCATGTTTATGTCGGAGAATTAAAGTGATGGTAAAGAACTGAAGACACTCTTCTCTCCCCCACCCTCAAGTAATTCATACTGCTCTTGGCACCATACTCCCATGAAAATCATTTACTACTGCATTTTGAACATACAACCACATTGGGGCAAATATTATGAAAGTACAATATCCTACTTGTAAGAAATGAGGAGGTACGTAGTCTAAATGCTTCACAGTTCAAGCACATGTTGAATCTTTAAAGTTCTGTTGATTAGGACAAAGCACGATATGAACAATCATAATTTGTCTCCTGAAGCTTGCCCTTCATTCCTGAGTACCAACTACTGCTGAGGCACTCAATTAGAATCAGCTTCCAAGTGCCTATTTTTCCTCTGGAATCCCCCTTCCATTCATGAATCCCATCTTGTAAATAAACAAGCATATTTCAATAAGCTCCTTGCCCTCCCCCCCCCCCCGCCACAGAATATAATGACTGTCCATTAAGTAACTATGGTGAGTTATTTTCCAAACTACAGTGCAAAATACTTGTCTTTTTAACATAATGACTAAAGAAGACAAAAATGTCCACCAGTGGTAGAAGAGAAGGCATCTGCCTAGAGATGTTGGAGAAGAGATCGTCTCCCTGCAGGTGTCTCTCATATAAAGGTTAAGCATCTTTAACAAACATAGTCATAACATAATCTTTTATGGACAGGGGCTGCTTCTCTTTCCAGACTCCTTGGCTTAGCACACAGGTCTCTCAATTGCCTGCTTTCACGTACAGGAAAGATTGAAGTCTTTTTTCTTCTGGTTAAATAAGACATTGCCTCTGAGTGAATTTAGTAGCAAGCCAAGCCTGAGTTATGTATTTAAGACAAGGAAGATCTGAAGCCATTGAATGGGTTTGTGCTTAGAACTATGGATTTAGCCATACTTCTTGTAATTCAGTTTTGTGAGTGATAATCTTTCTTTCCTTAGGTGTGAGGTAGGCACAGATTGCTGGTCTCAGTGCAATGACACACCTGTGAAGTTTGCTCGCTTTCCAGTCACTGGATTGATAGAAGGTCGTTCATACATATTCCGAGTTCGAGCTGTGAATGAAGCTGGAATAGGTCTACCATCTCGAGTCTCTGAGCCTGTGGCTGCTCTGGACCCAGCTGAGAAAGCTAGACTTAAAAGTAAGCATTTTCATTTTTCAGGATCTTCTTAAGCCTATTTATAATAATAACAATAACAACAACAACAACAACTGATGCAGGCTTTATTGTAAAGTTATCCCTATCCCTACCAGTAGAGGGAGACAAGAAAAAAATTATTTATTTATTTAATGTATTTATATTTAAGTAGTTGCACAAAGTGGTTTCAATTTAAAATGTCAGTTTGTGAGTACAATGCATTTTTATCAATGTCACTTTTTCCATTGCTCTCCCTCATTTTCCACAGCCCCACCCATCCCCTTAAGTTACCTGGGTCCATTTTCACATATGCACACTACGTTCTATGACAGCACTCATTCCCTTTCCTCTCTCTATTTGTCTTCTCACCCTCCTCTTGATCTCGCCTACAAGAAATCTCTCTCTCTCTTTTTTTTTTGTCTATCATGGGGCTTGAACTCTGGGCCTGGGCTCTGTCCCTCAGCTCTTCAGCTCACGACGAGCATTTCACCATTTGAACCACGGCACCACTTCCAGTTTTCTGGTGGTTAATTGGAGATAAGAGTCTCACAGACTTTCCTGCCCAGGCTGGCTTTGAGCCTCAATCCTCAGATCTCAACCTCATGAGTAGCTAGGATTACAGGCGTGAGCCACATACCTGTAAGATCCATTTTTCAGCTGAAAGCTCTAGACGGGAGAAGCCCCAAAACAAAACAAAAAAAATGTATGGGTTATTTTTGGGGGAGAGGGGGTTGTTATTGCTGGGTTTTTTTGACCTATGTATTGTCTCGGGAGCTTTATTTTATATTTATTCCATTTGTTAAAATGTTGTTCAGTAAAGTTTGTCTTGTTAAGCTGGGTTCTAGGCAATATGTGTGGAATGAAATAACATGGAGAACACTGGCATTTATACATTATTAGTACATTCCAGATGGCGTGGGGTGAATTTCTTTTTCTTTTTTTAATATAATTTTATTGTTATTGTTAAGATCTTGTACCAAGGGATTACCATTTCATAAGTCAGGTAATGAGTACGTTTCTTTTTTGGACAATGTCACCACTTCCTTCACTTTTCTTCAATTTTCCCCTCCAGTTCCTGCCTACAAGTTTCACAGGTTATTTTACATATTGTATATAATGAATAGCATGATTGCATTTGTTCGTTCTTCCTCCATCCCTTTCTGTGCCCTACCTTTGTCATCAAAAGTAAAAACAAACAACACAACAAAAACAAACAAACCATGTTTTGAAGTGGATTTCTTAACCTCAAAGTCCTCTCCTAGTGCATCAACATCTTAATACTTTGAGTTTCTCTATATTGATGGAAATGTGTATTTACATAATTTATATCTATTCTAAATTTGAGTTTCCACATTAGCAGTATTAAATCTTTTCATCTATTTTAGTTTCTTAAGCCCTAATGTCAAAATCATAGCTGAGACCTATAGGATTGAGGCTTGAAGCCAGCCTAAGCAGAAAAGTCTGTGAGACTCCATCTTCAAATTAACCAGCCAAAAGCTGGGCTGGAGGCCTGACTCAAGTGGTAAAGTGCCAACCATGTAAAAGAAAGCTGAGCAAGTTTGAGAACTTGAGTTCAAGTACCAGTACCAGCACAGATATGCACATACAAAATAGTACATGAATTATACCTACCTCCCTTGGTCTCATAGGAACCCATGTGACAGCCCCAATAGCAGGGACCACATAATGGCATTAGAAGAATTGTTGGATAGTAACATTTCACATTTTCAGTTTCATCCCTACTGATGTTTTAGGCCAATAATTCTTTGCTAGGGAGAGGGGTTGCCATACGGACACTCGATGTCTAGCTATATTCTTTCCCTTTACCTACTAAATGCCAGTGATCATTCCTGAGTTGTGATGATCAAAATTGTCTTCAGGCACTGAAGGATTCCAAGTTATGCTAAATTTATAGTGTCATTTTTTCATGTCAATTACATGTACTATCATCACAAAAACTGAAGCAAAATAGTGTTACCTTTTTCCTGCATCCATGTCTAATTAGGCTCCTTGATTTTTCTCCAATCCACTTCCACCATCCATCAAACGTCTCTCCCTCTTATCTAAATTTGCAGGTTCTGCCTCATCCTTTCCTCTATTCTTCTTTTAATAATTACAACCAGAATAAGATTGTCTAAATTGGGAATAAGTCATTTTCTTTCTCACCTTGCTTTTGTTGCACAAACTGATGACAAGCTCTTGATTAAAACAGGAGGTGAACCATTCTTTTTTCTGATGTTTATGGGGGTCCCAGAATGCCTTAGTTAAATAGGACACTCATGTCACTCTATGCCTTCTCTTCCATTGTCCTCTCTCCAGATCTAAGCTGGTTTCCTTTGGTAGGTAATACTCTTCAAAATGTAGTGGGGGAAATTGCTTTCATTAAGTTCTAATGTCTAAACATCACTCTCTCTCCTCATTCATCTTCATTAGGACAGAGCTACAATTGTTCTAAAAGTACTTTTTCCAAATAGAGGCAGCCTCTTAGGAAGGATCCAGAAAGTGTCCTAGCTTTGGGAGATTTCTATTGATCATTGAACCAGGAGATATTATTTACCTAGATTTTGTAAGTATGATTCCAGAAAAGTCAGTTCATTCAGTCCAGGCTAATTCTACATTCTGACAGATCATTGTCCCTTGGCTGAGGCCCTGTCACCCACAGACGACTTCATTCATATTTGACAATGATATACTAGTGAAATACCTTAGTCTACAAACTCATCTATAACTAATCTAGTCTACTTATCAACAGATCAGTTAAAAACACATCTGGGAATGTTTGTGATTTTTATACTTTTTTCTGTTCAGGTCGCCCTTCAGCACCCTGGACTGGACAGATCATTGTCACTGAAGAGGAACCTACGGGTAAATATTCTGGTTGTTAATGTTTTACAATACAGTTTAGGCTTGTTGCAGAGAGTAGAATGATTATTACTTATGATATTTTTGAAAGTATGTACTAAGGCATCTGGAAATGAGATCATCTATTATGTTTAATTTATCAGAGAATACAGGCCAGAGGTGCTAAGGTCTGATCTCAGAGCCTTGTACATGCGAAGTATACATTATATTGCCGAATAAAACCTCCAGGTCCTGGAAAATTGTACTTCATTTTTAAAGCTTTAATAATACGTGTCATTACAACAAACTAAACATATATAAAACGTACAATTTGATAAATTGTATGCATCCATGAAGCCATTGCTATGATCAAATGATGAATATAATCATTGTCCCCAAAATTTTCTCAAGTCCCATTGTAATTACTACCCTCTCTCCTATCTCCACACAACCACCAATCTATTTTCTGTAGCCATAGTTTGCATTGTCCATGATGTTGGCCAAATAGAACTATACCCATCTGTGGTTGCTTTCACTCAGCATAATCATCTACAGATTTATCCATGTTGATGCATATATCAGGTCATTCTAATTCACCCAGCCATTCATTATTTTTATTTTATTTTATTGTAAAGATGCTGTATAGAGAGGTTCCATTCACTGTTTAATTAACAGCTTCTCTGAGCATTTTTTTTTAATTTTATTCTTTTTTTGTCCGGTCGTGGGGCCTGGGCGCTGTCCCTCAGCTCTTCAGTTCAAGGCTAGCGCTCTACCACTTGAGCCACAGCGCCACTTCCGGCTTTTTTCTTTTTGCTTATGTGGTGCTGAGGAATCGAACCCAGGGCCTCAGGCATGCAAGGCAAGCGCTCTACCACTGAACCATCTTCCCAGCCCCTCTCTGAGCATTTTTAAGTGTGTGGAGTTACATGCTTTGACTTCTTTGGGGTAAATACTTAGAAGTTGAATGAAGAGGCTATATAATAGGAGTATAGTTTTCAAAGGCAGTGCTAATTCTTTTCCAAAATAATTGTACCATTTCACATTCCCACTAGCACTCTGAGAAAGTTCCAGTTGCTCCATATTATCACTAGCACCTGATCAATATTTTTTATTTTAGCTATTCTTAGGTGGGTCCACAATGGTATTTCTTGGTGATTTTGATTTGCATTTCCCAAATAACATTAAGTGCCCTTTCAGGTGCTTATTTACTAGTTCAGGGTCATTTGATATCTTTGTCAAATCTTAATATTTTCCTATATCTTTCTTTCTGGAAGTATTATAGTATTAACTCTTGCATTTTAATCAATGATCTATTTCAAATTACTTCTTTTATAAATTGTATGAAGTAAGATCTCACTTATTGCTTGCATGTGGCCATCCAATTATGTTGGCAACTCTCCATTGAAAAGAATGGCCCTAACTAACTCATTGAAGTTGCCTTGACACCATTGTCAAAATCAGTTGCCCACACACATAACTATGGATCTATTTCTGGAATCTTTCATTGGTCAATTTAACTTTCTCTATGTCAGTACCACTCTGCTTTGACTATTTACCTTTATTTTTGTCATATATATGCTTTATGGTTTTAAAATCAGGAAATATAAGATCTTGAAAGTTGTTTTCACTATTTTGTCTTTTCATTTCCATATAAAAATTTATTTTAAATCAGCTTGACAAATTCTATACAATGCGAGGATTTCAGTTGAGATTCTGCTGAATCTAAGCTGACATTTTAACAAATTGAATCCTTCAATTTGTGAACCAAGCACTTACTATCTTTCACTTATCTGATTTTAACAGTTTCAATGAAAGCCCTATACTTTTTGTGTCCAATTTATCTGTAAATAGTTCATGTTTTTTAGGATATTTTACATTGTGTTATGGACAGTTCCAATAAGTTGTGTTCACAACTGATTTTTTTTTTTTTTTTTTTGCTGGTCGTGGGGCCTGAATTCTGGGCCTGGGCGCTGTCCCCCAGCTCTTCATCTGTAGACCAGTGCTCTACCACCTGAGTCTCAGCCCCACTTCCAGCTTTTGCTGATTATGTGGTGCTGAGGAATCGAACCAAGGGCCTTATACATGCAAGGCAAGCGCTTTACCACTGAGCCACCTTCCCAGCCCTCACAACTGAATTTTTAACAAAGTTGATCTTACTAAGCATGGAAAGGGTCTGAAACTACATCAGTGTCAGAGGTCAAGGTTAAGTTAGAGACTCAAAGTAAGAGACAAAGATAGAAATATAAACACCACTGAAAAATAGAGGGATACTCCAAAGAAGCCAGGAGAGGATACTGCACGTGCCAGTGCCAATAAAGGAAATGAGCACTATCTGCTTTATCCGTTTCCCTAAGAAGATGGAACAAAATCTTAAGATAGAGCCAGAATGCCATTATTCCCACATGTCTCATCGTCCGTGACACCAAGACCAACCTCGCCATCATGGCACACCCTAGATCTCCCTGTTCTCTTCTTTCTTTCCTTCAGCACTTGAGCGCTCACTGCTCTGTGATGTTTAACTTCCCTTTTCACCTAAATGAGTCAAAGGCAAAACCAAGCTTGGCTTGCTGCATATATTTTCAATGGCATTTGAATAATTCTCTGACTGTTTTTTTCTTGAATTTTAATTTTTTGTATGGTTTTTATGGTAAAAATACTGTACAGTATTTTTACAGTTACATGAAATAGAAAATGAGTCCATTTCCTATCGAGCATTGTTGCCTCTTCCTTTGTTGCCTCTTCCTACCATTCCTTCCCTCCCACCTCCACAACTACATCATCCCCCACCCCAGGTTGTAAAGTTTGTTTTCAACATAGTGTTTTGTTCATCTCATTGTTACAATGGGTCAATCTGTATCCCTATTTAAGCATGTTGTTTTTCCCCTTCCCCTCTCTTTAGAGAAGTGTATATATAAGATCCAGGGCACCGAAGACTGTACGAACGACTGATTAATTGATGTCTAAGAAAGAAAATTAGAGACAAGATGCTTTTTATATTTAGAGCCATAACTAACTCTTTCTCCATGAAGCGAGAAGCATCTTGCAGCTCACTGAGTGTCCTGGACTAAGCTGAATGTGCACAACTCAGCTCTTCTTGTTTTCCAGAGGGAATTGTTCCTGGTCCCCCCACAGACCTCTCTGTCACTGAGGCCACTCGGAGCTATGTAGTGCTAAGCTGGAAGCCGCCCGGCCAACGTGGCCATGAAGGCATTATGTACTTTGTGGAAAAGGTAAGACCTCAACGTTACATCATGCCACTTCCAAAAGCTTTCTTTAGAAAGAAATAAGCAATAAAATGCATCCTCGCTTCCACATTCAATCTGTATATTTTCTACGAAGCTCTGGGTTTGTGAAAATAATATTTAAAATTTATACTTATTTGTTGTATCTTCTAAATATTAGCCTCAAACAAAATATAACTAAAGTAGCATCCTACACTTCCTCCCCCTTAAAAAAATACAAGGCAATAATAGAGTGATAGATAAATGTTGACTTCCTGGTGCATTTAGCGTCTTCCACCCTACTGCATCTCTCTGAAATGCTCCACAGGAAGGAGTTCTAAATTACCTCACTGACAGTAATTATGGCCTTTCCTATATAAAGACACTAACAACCCTCTGGAAGCATTTTCTTCCGATAACTCACTGTTGGCTTCTGTTGAATATTCCCACTCTGGGAATAATCCAACTCTTGATTTCTCCATTCAAGTCTGTAATGTGAATCTGTGATTCAAAGTTTCCATATTCCCCCAGCAGTCCGCCGATCTGGACGAGGAAGGTAGAAAAAGACAGTAGGAGCATAGCACTGAGACTCACACAGGGCATATATAGGCCACACTCCCAGATCACCAGGACGCTGAGGCACCAGAGATGCAGAACGCATCCAGAGACCTGTGCGCAGTTACAGAACTGTACGATGTTCTGAGCTGAGCTGCAACTATTTCTGTTGGACCACTGCTGATGTGTTGACCTTTCCTAAGGGAATAGTTCACTTGCTCTTTATCCGCACCGAGTAGTCTCATCCCCAGAAGGTCTGTGCACCCTGCAGGGCGGTGTGTATCTAACAATACAGACCCATGTTTGATGGAGAGAATCTTGGAGAACGTCGAGCGCCCCTACTGTCTCCTCATCTCCTTCTGTAGTCCCAAATGGGTGGCAGTTCGTGGGCAGGTACATGAGTCCGTCCTGGCACTTGTGGGTGCTCAGTGGCTGTCGCTGTTCTTGCTGCAGTGTGACGCAGGGACAGAAAACTGGCAGCGAGTGAACACAGAGCTCCCCGTAAAGTCTCCTCGCTTTGCTCTGTTCGACCTGGCTGAAGGAAAATCCTACTGCTTTCGTGTCCGCTGTTCTAATTCAGCGGGAGTTGGTGAACCGTCAGAGCCAACGGAAGTGACCGTGGTAGGGGACAAACTTGGTAAGTGTGAACTTACCAAATGTGAACTATGAACTTTGCATCAGGAGAAATGTTGGCCCCTTGTATGCAGGCATGGAAACATTACAGTGTAACTAATGTATGTTAAAAAAAACTCTTTAAAAAAAGCATACAGTGCACTCATAATACTCAATGTACATACATGCAAATGGAACTAGGATTCGGGATGGGTGGGGTTGCCATAGATGGGGAGGGAGAAAGATGGATGGGTGACGCTGATTAAAATGCATTGCATGTACAAACTGACATGTTGACTTGAAACTCCTTGGTACAACTATCCAAAGATAATTTGTATTAAGCACAGTAAGCCAGATCCAAAGAAACGTAGGCTGCATGGTTTCCCTAATTTGTGGTAACTAGAATGTGCCTATAAACCTACAAGAAAACACACTGGATGGTTAAAAAATAATACACTAGAATATGATGAATTATACAGGTCTCTGGACATTCACTTAGTGAGACCAGAAGAGGATATTCATAGGAGCAGATCACAAAGGCTCAATAGCTAAGTGCATATGATCATATAAAATAATATTTAATGAAAAGGAAACAAGATTTTTTGGTGTTGTTGTTGTTGCTATTTTTGTTGTCTTTTACTTTTGTTTGTTAGCTTATTTGTCTTTAGGAGTGTAAGGGAGGACACCTAAAAGTGGAACAGCCAGGGACCATTGGCTCATACCTGTCATCTGAGCTACTCAGGAGTCTGAGATCTGAGGATCACAGTTCAAAGCCAGCCCGGGCAGAGACGTCCTGCTGAGACTTTTATCTTGGAGGCTCAGGGACAGTGCTCAGGCCCTGAGTTCAAGCCCCTCAACCAACAAAAAAATGGAACAAAGTGTGAACAAATAGGACAGTGGTACTCACTGGACACTATGTGGAAAATTAACTATATATCTTGTGGGTGGGGACAGAAGGGAAAAACTGGGAGAGAGGGAGGGAGGGGGAGACATGGTTCAAAAGAAATGTACTCAGAACCTAATTCATGTAATTATAACCTCTCTGTATATCACCTCTATAATAATAAAATATGTATTTTTAAAAAGATAATTTTTAAAATGATTAAACCATTGAAAAATCTGAATAAAATTCCAAGGCAGGAATCAAATTACATATATTATAAAGATGTATATATTATAGATTATATGTGTATATCTACATATATACATACATATAATAAGAAGTAGAAAATGGTGGCATGCTTATTTTACATATATAATTAGTGACTGTGGTTGCCCTATATATTAAATAAAAATTGATTATTTTTGCTTATAAAAAGTAACCTTCCAACTGGGTGTTGGTGGCTCACACTTATAATCCTAGCTACTCAGGAGGCTGAAATCTGAGGATTGTGCTTCAAATTCAGTCCATGAGACTCTTATCTCCAATTAACCACAAGAAAACCAGAGTAGTACTGTGGCTTAAGTGGTAGAGCGCTAGCCTTGAGCTGAAGAGCTCAGGGCAGCACCTAGGTCCAGAGTTCAAGTCCCACGACCGAAACTTCCCCAGAAATTTTAACAACTAGTATGTTGTTTTTGGATATTTAGTTTATGTTTCCCAGATGACATTGTGAAAATTTTCTGTTATGACAAGTTCATTATGAGTTAAAGCATCTGTATGTTTTTATTTGTGTAAAATTTCTATGCATAACTGTTCAAGTGTGATGAACATGAGTTACTTGAACCTCTCTGAGTCTGATCACCATTTCCTTCTCCACTCAGATATTCCCAAGGCTCCTGGCAAAATCATCCCGAGTCGAAACACTGATACTTCAGTGGTGGTTTCGTGGGAGGAGTCCAAAGACGTCACTGAACTGGTTGGGTACTACATTGAGTCCAGTGTAGTTGGCTCTGGAAAGTGGGAGCCTTGTAACAACAACCCAGTAAAGGGCTCACGGTGAGCGAGTGGGGTGACCTTGAGCCACCACAGCACAGACATCCAATGGAAGGACATTGAAAAAACATTAAAAAGCCAGGTGCCAGTGGTTCAAACTTGTAATCCTAGCTACTCAGGAAGCTGAGCTGTGGAAGATTATGGTTCAAAGCCAGCCCAAGTAGAAAAAGCCAAAAGACTCCATCTCCAAAATAATCATCAAAAATGCTAGCCTGCAGACATGGCTCAAATGGTAGGATTTGGGCCTAGCAAGCACAAGGCCCTACATTCAAACCTCAGCACCACCCCAAAATAAAAAATACATATACATTATTCCCATGAATTTAAAACTGAATGTGTCTGATGTAATACAGTTTGGGGAAAAAAAGATTTACTTGGGAGGTGAAACTCTTTGAGATGTATAAGGCAGCTGTTCCAAGAGCTCATTATGTAAGTTCTTTCCCTTTTATAAGTTCTTTACATTTCATAAGGTTCTTTGCCTTTGTGCTACTCCTTCCCACTTTTAGAAATACATAATGCCCACTGTTCAAAGAGCTCATTTTATCAGATTTTTCTAATGTGGTTAGTGCTTCCTTTCTTACCCTTCTGTTCTAGACTTTTCTTTCACTCACTTGTATATTTTTGTGCCAGTTCTGGGGCTTGAACTTGGCATTGTGCTCTAACTCAGCTTTTTTTCATTCACAGATGGTGCTCTAACATTTGAACCACACCTCTAGCTTAGCTCTTTGCTACTTTATTGGACATGTGAGTCTCAGGTTTGTCTGTCCAGGCTGCCTTCAAACCTTGATCTTCAGATCTCAGCCTCTTGAGTAGCTAGGGTTAGAAGTGTGAGCTTGTTCTAATCTTTAACATACAATGTGATACTAGATTCCAAGGGTCTAATAAACACTACAGGAATAAGCTCAAACACAAACACCCTGGTATTTCAAATAACCAGAAAACAAAATATCAATATTTTGCAGGTTCTGAACATGGTTAAAACTAGTGCTATGCAGAAAGAAAAAAAAAACCAAAAAAATTCAAACAGCTGCTTGCTAGTGGCTCACACCTATAATCCTAGAAGTTCATGAGTCTGATATCTGAGGATTTGAAGCTAGCCTGGACAAGGAAGTCCATGAAGCTTTTTATCTCCAATTAACCACCAAAAAGCTGGAAGTGGAGCTGTGGCTCAAGTGGTAGAGCACTTGAACAAAAATAGCTCAAGGACAGAGTCTAGGCCCTGAATTCCAGCCCCAGAATTGGCATAGGGAAAAAAAAGAAAAAGAAAAAAACAAAACAAAACCACCCAAACAAGAACATTGAGATACTTTGCAATTTGTTTGTATCTGCTTTCAATGTGGGGAGGGTTATTTTGTTCTTTTACTATTATCTCAACCAGCTTTACAAACTGATGGTGAATTCTGTTTCACCCATCTGTCCTATCCTACCATTTAGGATGAGTATAAATAGGGAGTTCCTCCCAGAAATTGTCAGATTAGCAGTTTTGTTGAGTAGCCTCTAGCTCGGGCCTCTTTGAAGGTCATAGACTCCCACGGGTTGAGTTGGTTCTTCACAGTTCATCAGAGAATAGAGGCAACAGATTAAGAGAAGACGGTATATCTTGCAAGAGATTTGTTTCTTGCAATAAAATATCTGTTTGTACGCTTCACCCCAGCATTTTTCCTGAAGCTATTTAGAAGGGTTCACCAAGAGAGGCAGCTTCTGCCCTTCCACAAGTAAGCAGGAGGTGGTGGAAGGCACCTGCTATTTATTCATCTCCATATCCACAGAGCCCAATCCAGTCTCCAACACTAAAGTGCTCAATAAATGCTCAAACTGACCCTGAAGTCAGAAAGTTATGGCTTACTTTATTAAATATTTGAATAAGCTAATAGCTATAGTGTCATTAACAGACCTGCTGTCTCTCCAGGTCCTAGCTCTTGCCACAGATTTAAATTTTCCAGTGATTCACAAAACAGTTATTTATAGCCACAGTATCTGTTAGAGTGAGGTTGTGTTCTGTGTAAAGCCCCTGCGGATTCACACCTCACAACTGGATCTGTAGATCTGATACTAGAAAACATTTTTTTCACTGTATTTTTGGATTCTAATACAATTTCTCAAATAATGTATCTTCCATGGCATGGAGGGAGTCAATGATTTAATCTGTGTGACAGGGACCTGCCAGTGAGTTACAGTTATAAATACATACCTGAAGTGCCTTAATGGTACTATTAATGCCACCTATTATTTACTAAGTGTCTCATACGTCAGATATTGTGGAAATATTTCGTATATTTTATGGCTAATCTTTACATGAGAATTAGCTCTTTTCACTCCCATCATATCAATGAACATTCAGGCAAACCCCAGAATGCCTCATTTTACTGACAGTGATTTTTTTAATTGTTTTGATTACTGGGTGCCTGTGGCTCACACTTGTAGTCCTAGCTACAGACCTTAGGAGACTGAGGTCTGAGGACTGAGGTTTGAAGCCAGCCCAAGACGGGGAAAAATCCGCGAGTCTCTTATTTCCAACTAACCACTTTTTAAAAAGAAAGGAAAAGAAGGGAAAAAAATGAAACAAAATTGAAAGTGGAGCTATGGCCCAAGTGGTAGAGCACCAACTTTGAGCAGAAAAGCTTAGAGGCAAAACTGGACAGTGGCTCATGGCTAAAATCATAATTTCTCAAGAGGCTGAGATCTGAGGATCACAGTTAAAAAGTAGCATAGGTAAGAACATCTGTGAGACTCTTATCTCCCATAAATTATCAAAAAAGTGGTAGAGTGCTGGCTTTGATTTAAAAAAAATTCTTAGTGACAATGACTAGGCCCTGAGTTCAAGTCCTGAGGTCAAGGCCCAGGATCAGCACCACAAAGAAAAAATGCTAAAAGGCAGTACTCTGGCTTTGAGTTCAAGTTCTAGTAATGGCATACAAAAATTTAGCTTGATTGTCTTCTTGTCTAAACTGTATGTTACCTAGATCTCTATATCTCCTCTCTTGTGAAAAATGAACTTTTTTCTAAATCAAATCATTCAATTAAACAAGCACTTAGTTCCTCTAACTTTTCTCCTAGAAAGTCTTTTGAGCAGTTCTTTCTTTTTTAGATTTACTTGTCATGGACTGGCTACTGGTCAGAATTATATTTTCCGGGTCAGAGCAGTTAATGCAGCTGGACTTAGTGAATATTCCCAGGATTCAGAAGCCATTGAAGTCAAAGCTGCTATTGGTAAGTCCTTTGTGTAAATAGTTTCTGGGGGGAAATAATGAAAAAAAAATAAGTTCACATTGTTTTCAGAAGTGGTTTACGGCTTTTCATACAGCTCCATGATACCATGCTGGCAAAATCATCTTCTCTGACTTTAGATGACATCTAACCTTCTATAGCTGTCATTTTGCAGGTCTTCATCCACTTATCTAGCCTCCTTACACCTGTAGCTTTTCCTCAAGTTTCTTCAGAAACTCCTCACTGTGTGAACTGCACCCCTAACTCCATGCTCATCCTGGGACTCCTGAGGGCCATTCTGATTCCATGACATGGTATATCATTTATAACTCCAACCATCTTGCACCTAAAATGACTTCATCTATGACAGAGCCCGGTTTCTTTTCACTAACCGCAGACTAACACGCTTCTTACAAAGGCCTCTATCGTCTATGGAAGGCATGTGTGGCCACTGAATCATGTGTCCTCTCTGCTTGCAAAGTAACCAACAGAAAAAAAGCCAGTAATAAAGTCATTATATGTATGCATTCGATGTACCTCCCAATCTCAGATAAAGTAGGGAAGAGATCCAGATAGTTCAGAGGAGCAAAAATAAAATCTATGATATGCTAATATGAAGGCTTGGGCTTGGGCTCAGTGGTAGAATACATGCTTAAGATGCACCAAAGCTCAAGTTTGAGTCTCAGTATGACCAGATTTTTTTAAAAAATTGTTTAGTGTTGATTGTCTTCAGCTAGCATCCCGTATTACTTTCTAATATTACTTATAATAAGGACAATAGCAAGCCGGGCACTGGTGGCTCACGCCTGTAATCCTAGCTACTCAGGAGGCTGAGATCTGAGGATCTCAGTTCAAAGCCAGCCCGGGCAGGAGAGACCGTGAGACT